GAGGAAGAACTTCTTCCCTCTGAGGGTGACGGAGCCCTGGCCCAGGCTGCCCAGAGGGGCTGGGGAGCCTTCTTCTCTGGAGATATTCCAGCCCCGCCTGGCCGCGGTCCTGTGCAGCCTGCTGTAGGTGACTCTGCTTTGGCAGGAGGGTTGGACTAGATCCCTTCCAACCCCTACCATTCTGTGATTCTGTGATTCTGTGATTCTGTGCTCTCCCCAGAAGCACCCCTATAACCCTGCTTTAGCAAGCCCCGGCACCGCGCTCTCCCCAGAAGCAAGCCCACAGCTTCAATTTAGCGGTCCCCAGGGATGTGCTTTCCCCAAGACGGTGCCTAAAACTTTGCTTTAACAATTCCCAGTGCTGTGCTCTTCCCATGTGCCCAGGCATCACCTTGCTCTGCTGAACGTCAGCACTGCACTCTCCCCAAAAACAATTCCACAACCTTGCATTGGCAATTCCTGGCACCGCACTCTCCCCAAAAGCAAGCCTACAATCTTGCTTTAGTGATTTCTGGCACCGCCCTTTCCCCAAAAGTAAGCTTATAACCCTGATTTAGCGATCCCCAGTGCCGCACTCTCCCCAAAAGCATCCCCACAACTTTGCTTTAGCAACTCCTGGCACCGTGCTCTCCCCAAAAGCACACTTCTAACCCAGCTTTAGCAATCCCCAGTGCTGCCTCTCCCCCAAAATAAGCCCACAACCTTGCACTAGCGATTCCTGGCTCCACGCTCTCCCAAAAAGCACCCCTATAACCCTGCTTTAGCAACTCCCAGCACTGCGCTCTCCCCAAAAACAAGCCCACAACCTTGATTTGTCAACTCCTGGCACAGTGCTCTCCCCAGAAGCATCCCTATAATGCCGATTTAGCAATCCCCAGTGCCGCGCTCTCCCCAAAAGCACCCCCACGACCTTGCTTTAGCGATTCCTGGCACCACACTCTCCCCAGAAGCACACATATAACCCTGCTTTAACAATTCCCAGTACCACTCTCTTACCAAGAGCAAGCCCACAACTCTGCTTTAGCAATTCCTGGTACCACGATCTCCCCAGAAGCACCCCTATAACCCCGCTTTAGCAACCCCCAGCACCCTGCTCTCCCCAGAAGCACCCCTATAACCCCGCTTTAGCAACCCCCAGCACCCTGCTCTCCCCAAAAGCACCCCTATAACCCCGCTTTAGCAACCCCCAGCACCCTGCTCTCCCCAAAAGCACCCCTATAACCCCGCTGTAGCCACCCCCGGCCCCGC